TGGAAATAGCTGGCTTCTGGTTTTGCTTCAGCAATGCAATGACAGCAGATTGGCATTTCAGATATTTCTCTCCTGAGTGTTCTAGGCTCCGGTTATTCTATTTATTGTCATAGGCAAAGGCAGGGAAGAGGCAGCTCCTCCCTTTCATCAAGAAACCCAAAGTATTTCCAACAGCCAACTATATAGCTCTGACCACCCAGCTATCTGACCCTGAGCTGCAAATGAAGTGGAGAAAAGCAGGTCATACAGTGGAGGCAGGCAAGGAGGAAGAATACTGGTATCGGATGTTGGATGAGACAGTTACCAGTGCCTGCTACAGACACAGTTGACAACTGAAAAATAAAGCAAGGCAGAAGAGTGGTTCCATGGTTAAAGCCTGTCCTGTAACAGCTGGAGAGGTTCAGATCACCTGAGTCCGTGCAAAGGCTGGGTGGGTACTGCAGCCCACTTGTAACTCCAGCTCTTAGAAATGGCGACCCTCAGAGCAAGCTGGCTGGCTAAACTAGCTGAGCGAGAGCTCTGGGTTCAACTGAGAGACCTTGCCTTAGAAACTAAGTCGAGATCAGTTGGGGATGAGTTCTGATGTCTACCTCAAGTCACCCCAATCACGAATGCTCACATACATGCAAACGTGTACACACACACACACACACACACACACACACACAGAGAGAGAGAGAGAGAGAGAGAGAGAGAGAGAGAGAGAGAGAGAGTACATGAGAAGCAAAAAGAGAAAAAAGCATAGGAAGTAATATGTCCATATGAAATAACATCTGCAAGACCCATGCTCCCAGGCAAAATTCATAAATAGGAAATGAGAAACACTGACTATAAATGGGAAAACCAACTACTAAAATCTAAACCAAAAATCCAAATCTCCTTCACTCCACACACACCAGTCAGGGAGTATAAAGGTAAATCACAGAGTTGAGTTGTTTCTGGCTTCTGGATGTCACAAATAGTCCTTCCAGGAATATTCTTTGGCCTTCTTTTTATCCCTCTTATCTTCTGTTGGTTTTGTATATTTTTTGAATCTATGTAGGCGTATGCACATAGATTGTGTATGTGCATGTGTGGTGTGTATGTGTGAGAGCAGGCACATGAGAGCCATAGCACCTGTGGGAGGTCAGAGGTCAACTTTCAGGAGTTGGTTCTCACCTTCTGCTTTGTTGAGGCGGGATGTCTCGTTTCTGTCCCTGTGCTTCATGTTCCAGGCTAGCTTAGCCTGCAGGATGGGTGATTCTCCTGCCTCCAACCCCCACTGTGTCGTGGGAGTGCTGAGATCATGAATAAACAGCATCACTAACAGCTTTTTTTGTTTGTTTGTTTGGTTTTTTGGTTTTTTGAGACAGGGTTTCTCTGTGTAGTTTTAGAGCCTTTCCTGGAACTCACTCTGTAGCCCAGGCTGGCCTTGAACTCATAGAGATCTGCCTGCCTCTGTCTCCCAAGTGTTGAGATTAAAGGTGTGCATCACCACCACCCGGCCACAAACAGCTTTAATGTAAGCTTCTAGGAGTGAATTCTGATTCTCAGGCTTGTGTGGTTAGTGCTTGTACCCACTGAGCCTTCTCCTCAGCCCCACTGTGGGCATTTTTATCGGACACTTGGAGGTGAATTTGTAAGTCATAAGTATTGCATATACGTGACTTCAGTAGACATTATCAAACAATTTCCATAGCTTCAAAGTAGTTGTGGAAAGGAGTGTAGGGTTGAATAGGTTATAATTTGTATATCTAACAAAGGACTCATACCCATAATATGTAAGAAACTCTGGCCATCCATGAGAAATGGAAAATAGAAAAATGAACAAAAGACATGAATAACTAATCATCAAAAGAGGATATTGAGATGGTTAGGATACAGATAAAGATAAGCGTAGACTAGTTGACCATCCCGAAAATGTAACTTAAAACCAAAATAAAAGACCACAAGGCAGGGTGGTGGTGGCGCATGCCTTTAATCCCAGCACTCGGGAGGCAGAGGCAGGCAGATGTCTGTGAGTTCCAGGAAAGGCGCCAAAGCCACACAGAGAAATCCTGTCTCAAAAAAAAAAAAAAAAAAAAAAAAAGACCACCAGAATGCCTCAGTGAAGATGGCAAACAATAGCAAGTGTAGGATTGTAGGTCAATTAGAACTCTCTCCTCATGCTGATAAGAATGTAAATAGCACAATATGAATATAGCCTGGAGAACTATTCAGCAAGGTCTACTAAAGCAGAATATTTATGGCATAGTCTATGACCCCACACTCTTCTCCTAAGTGTCTAGAACAAAACGCCTACATCTAGTCATCAAAATGTCTACAGTCATGTTTGTGAGAGCACTAAGCATAATAGCCCAAAGCCAGAAGCACTCCAAATGCCCAAAAGTAGACTGAGGCATAAAATACAGCATAATCCTGCACAGCAATAGAAAAGGAGCAAAGAGCAACATATAGCCCTTAGACGTATCTCACATAATGTGCAGGTACGAAGCAAGATACAAAGATGACATCCTGCATGACCGAATGTGGTAGTTTGAATGAGAATGGCTTCCATAGCTCATATATTTGAATTTCTGGTTCCCAGTTGTTAGACTATCTAGGAAGGATTGATAGGTGTTGTGGAGGCCCACAAGGGTTTCCTACTGAGATCTGAGCTTGCTTTACCCAGCAGGGCTGCATTAGAGGATTGCTTGACCATGTGCATGGTTACTAGGTGATTGGAAGGGTCTACACTTGGTTGAGCTAGGGGGAGGTCTTTGCTCTACTCCTTGGTATTCCTATAAATAGCCCTTTAGAAGAGACAGGAAGGGCTGGTCCAGGCCCTCCTGAGGCTATCCTGTGTTTTTATGTTTCTGTCCCCTCTGTCCTTCTATCTAATATCTTTTATCCCTCTCTCCTCAAGAGTTCCCTGTTATAAAATGTGGGAGCTTAGCTCCCACAATGTATGGCCCTGTTGGAGGAGGTGTGTCACTGAGGGTGGGCTTTGAGGTTTTAAAGCTCACAACAGGCCCAGTCTCACATACTTTCTGCCTGCTGCCTTCGGATCAGGATGTAAGCTCTTAGCTACTGCAACAGCACTGGGCCTGCCTGCCTGCCACCATGCTTCCCACCATGATGGGAATAGACTTACCCAAACTGTAAGCAAGCCCCCAATTAAATGCTTTCATTTAATAAGTTGCCTTGATCATGGTGTTTCTTCACAGCAACACAACAATAACTGAGTCACTGAACTTCCATAAAGTTTAAAGCCAGGAGAAATAGTCTGTGGGGTTGGAGGTCAGAACAGTGGTTTCTTAGGTGGGATGTGTTGAGAACCTTTGAAGAGGTTCTGGGGCCACTGTCAATGCTGTTTTTCTTGATCTGGATGTTGATTACATTATTACATTTATGTCCAAAGAATACATTAAGCCATACTCTTATTTGGGTATATTTCTCTAAGTGTTTTGTATTTTTTAGTAAAAATCTTGCTTTCAAAAGGATCATTAGCAGGATCAGTTTTTCACCTTGATCATGAAAACAACCGTGCCCCAAGCCTTAAAGAGTACAAAGTCCAGAACCTCCATTTGGAGGTCACAAGTCCCATCCTTCTTTTTTTCTTTTCTTTTTAGTTTTTAGAGATAGGGTTTCTCCGTGTAGCCCTGACTGTCCTGGAACTCACTCTGTAGATGTGAACTCACAGAGATCCACCTGCCTCTGCCTCCTGAGTGCTGGGATTAAAGGTGTGTACTACCACCACCTGGTTTCCATCCTTTTTTTAATTTTATTTTATTATTAAGAAATTTTCTATTCATTTTACATACTTTAGTAGGTAGTATATATCAAGAAAATTATCCATTTTTTGCAAAATATGTTCTGAACAACTTTAAACTTTATTAAATAAAAATTGCATAAGCACAACTGTAAAATAATGAACAGAAAAGTTAAATACAATTTATCACATGTAAAATGGATTATTGTATAATTAGCAATATCAACTCTAAAGCCCCACTTCCACAATGGGAATGGGATACGTCAATATTAATCTAATGAATTAAGTAAAAAAAAAGTAACTTTAAATGGAATAAAACTTTTCAAATAATTCAATACAGCCCTAGCAAAGCTGAGGTTTGGATTCAATGAGACCTGGGATAATAATGGATATTTACCATTATAGTTACTTCTAATCAACTTCCAAAAACTAAGGCAAGTCTCCTTAATTCTGGGAAAGAATGTGTCTTTAAATAACCATGATGCTTTTCTCAACAGTTCTGCATCCTATGCAAGTCTAGTAGAGTGTGATGGGTCAGAAAAGTATCAGTCTGTGCAATTCATTGTCCTTTCTTGTACTATTTTCAAGCTTTAAAAAATACATTTAAAAAAACCGTCCATCTTCAATTTAACAGATACAACTCCAGCTAGTCAACACTTCCTGCCTTTTCTTGCTGATGTCCCTCCTGATCTTAATCAGGAATGACATTGTGATGGGCATTCCTTTCAGGAATAAACAGTTCAAACAAGGAACAGAGTTGGCAATTAGAGAATATTGTAAAATGACAACTGCCAAGGTTTGTAAATGAGTGAGTGAAAACATAAGCAATCATTGGTGGGGGAAGAAGACAAAAAAATCATAAACTAAATCCAGCATTAAAACAATTCACAAACTAAATCCAACATTAAACCAATTCATAAACTAAATCCAACACTAAAACAATTCAGAAACTAAATCCAACACTAAAACAATTCAGAAACTAAATCCAACATTAAAACAATTCATAAACTAACCAACATTAAAACAATGTTGTTTGAACATGTGTTCTTGTGTGGGTTGAACAGCGTTTTCTAAGCTTGCAGTAGTTACTTGCAGGTATAGATGGCATTGGGCAGGACTCCCCAGGTCAGGACTACATTGAAGAGGGTGGGCTTCATCCATGTCAGGCAGCTCAGTATCTGTTTTAAATCTTTTCAACCCATCTGGCTTGAGGTATATAGAAACATGGATGGAAAAGTGCAGGGGTGCCATAGCAACCAGGTGGATGTTGTTACAGTAAGTGACAATTCAGGATTTCCCACACCATCCTCTTCCTAAAGATGGACATGTGTTGCTGAGAAAAGGTAAGTGGTTGGTCTCTAGAAATGTAATCTGCATATTTACAAGTAAAAATTCCACAGTCACTCCCATTCAGTTGTTGAGGAATCTCCTTTGAAGTCATACTGTATCTTTTCCATTCCAAAGGGTCCAGCTCAATGTTCCTTCGAGTTTTGCTCTCATTTTGTAAATATTCAAAGATGGTCTCACAAATGCTCTGCCCTGTCTGTCCCATTGAATCGAGGTATACGATACTTTGTTTTCTTAGGTCGATTACTATCAGGCTCCAATGTACCTTCTGGTGAATAGGTACTAGAATAATTTCTTTTTCAAACAGTTTTATTCCTCGAGTCCATCGTTTAACAGAACAGTAGCCGCCATGCTTTAGTTTGGGGTAAAAGAAAGTGCTGAACACATGAATAGCCGGGTACCCTTTTTTGTTATTTCTCTCAACCAGAAGATTCATGTAAAAATTGATGACCTCATCATTGAGCCACTCACCATTCTCTAGGGTGTGGATATCTCCTCGAGTAATATGCAGTTTGAATGCACTCGTTAAGATTTCCTCCTGGGGTCCTGGACCCAGTGCATTTCTTATTTCCTTTTCCATGTCCTCTGTAACATTAAGGACTTCATCCGTTCCTCTGCCCTTTTCCTGTTCTGCTACAGGATTTTTCTCTGCCATAACTACTGGCATCTTGTTGGGGAGTGACCTACTGCTGCCACTGTGCAGGAAGACTTGAGCCTCTGCTCTTGGCAAGTCAGGCTCCAAGTGGTGTCCTCTTCTTCCTTCAAGGTTTACTGCATCTTTCTTCTGTGTATCAGAAGAGTTCTCTGTACACGCCCTCACTCTCAAGTCTGGTGAGACACATTCCTTTGTGGTAACAGCAGTGGATTGTTTAGGATCACACTGAGTCGTTCTGGATCCGTGACTGTGCCCTTCCACACACCCTTTGATCTTCAAGGTGTCCACCAGGGTTGTGTGAACCCTCTGTGGTTCAGATTTCATATTATCACGGGGCGGAAGGTGCTGCAGTAACCTTTGGTACTTTTGCCTTTGGTGGTTTTTGGCATATTCCTCCATGATGCAACAGGGCCGCTTGCGACCCTTGCCACCATCCCCAGACTCTCTCCCAGTTACAGCCTGCTCCTGTGGACCTGTGGCCCACTCTAGGGGCTTTAGTTGTCTTAGAGTTTCTTGATGGAGTTCCCATAGCTCATCCTTGCCTGGCTGTTGACTTTGAAGCTCTCGGTCTTGCTGTTCCTGAGGTATCCTCTTCTGAGTTTTGCTGGGCTCTTCAAACTCCAAACCTGTTCCACCCTCATCCTGGCATTTTGGTTTTTTACCTTGTCCTAAAGCTTCAGACTTGATCTCCATCCCACCTTCATCCAAGTATTTCCGTTTTCGACCTTGCCCAGAAGCTTCAGGTTTCATCTCCATCCCGCACTGTTTAGGTTGCCACATGGACTCACTTCAGGATTTGTCTTTGCTGGGTGTCAGCTCACCAGTATGGTATAGCCTTCCTATTTCTAAACAAATGCAACCGTCTGCCTGACTCTGGCTGGGTGTTCTTGGGCTATTGTCACCCTGATATTTGAAGAATTACTTTTTCCGGTAACGGTATAATCTACAAGTTGGTTCAAAGTTGGAAACCTATTAGTCTATAGGATGAAGAGCTCGGAATAGCTTTTCTTTATAAACAAGAGTTGACTTTGGACATCAGGGTCAGTCAGAGTATGAAGCCAATTGAGCTGGCAACGGGAACTGATGGGTGAATAATCAAATGTTGGCAGTTCACCGGGGTCCACTGTGGGAAACCCCGTGGAGTTCTAGGAGTACTTCCTCAGAAGGGTCCCACAAGGGCTCAGTAACCAGCTAAAGACCCAGAATTTTGAAATCAGATGGATTGTCCTAGCCACTGTAAGACACCAGGCCTTAACCATGCAGCTAACACATTGGAGGCAAGCCTCACAAGTGATGCCTGACTCCGAGGTTGCCCTACCCACAGCCTTCAAGATTCCATAGCTGATTGTGATGTGACCTGAAAGAATGTAAATCAACATTCTTTGGAGGGTGGTGGCCCTGCTCCCCCCCCCCCCCCCCGCCCAAATGGGTTCAGGAGTTAGAAGACAGGGTTAGAGTGTTATGAACTAATCATACATATCTCAGTTCCCTTCTGTAGAGCACAGGATTACCTAGATCATCTCAGCATAATCTAGCTTGTCCTGATTAGTACATTTGTCTTTTAGGAAATTGTCCATCATGGTGAATGATAGAAAACAAAATATAATTGCCCCTCAAAATGGCTCTTTAAGATATGCTTACTAATTACCAAGAAAAAATAGAATTTTTACAGTTATAAAACCCAGTAGGTACTATTGTGTGACAAAACTTTTCATGGGGAAAAAGTGTAGATGTGAAACACACACGTCTACTCTCCCCTGATAGAGAACCCAGGACAGATCAAAGTTCAGATACCACTGAAGTCCAACTTGTTGAAGTAATAAGTTTTATTGGGGTTACTTACAATGATATGGTTGAGGGGTTATTTACAGGAGCAGAAATGACTCAAAGACAGGTGCATCATCATAGCCCGCCCTCAGCATGAGTGACAGCTCACAACAGCTGGGAACCTGGAAACACTGCACACCCTGTAGGCAACTCAACAGGCTGGAGAGTGTCCTTTCCAAGTGACTCAGTTGATCTAAACCTCTTTCAAGCAGCTGGCTGGGTTTCTGCTTCTTTAGAGGTTGGCTCTTCTGAGAGTCTTCCTTGCTGCTCGGCTTCCTTGCATCTGAGAGGGACTCTCAGCTTTTTTTGCTTATTCTGGCAAGGAGGGGTCTAGTGAATCTTGTCAGTTTCAGGGACTTCCTGAGCTCTTTTGAGTTGTTTGTCTTCCCACTTGAGGAGCTTCCCATCAGGGTGGAATGTTTCAGTCTTGGAGGAAACTGTTGCACAGCAGGTACCAACACACCAAGGATAAGTACGCTGCCAATGAGAGTAAATCAAATCTCAGCTTTGTCAATGGGATTTGTGAGAAAATGGTACATCACTACCTTGGTGACGGTCCTGGCAATCACACTAGCCCTGAATTCATCCCTAGAAAACAGTAGGGAGAATTAAATTGGAGCTGGAGTTACAGATGTGTGGTTTTTCAGTGGGTGCAGGGATCTGAATGCAGTCGACACCATTATACAACAAATACTTTACTGATTATCTCTGGCCCCTGGAGCAGCTCTTTCAATCTACTTTCAAAAGTACAGAGATTTTTTACAAAAGTGTGAGCAAAGAAGTAGAGACACATATTGTTTGTTGTTTACCATTGAAATGTAACCACTTAAAACATGTAAGTATATTTATACCAGTGTTTTATTGTAAGGGAAAATGTACTTTTTTCTGTAAAAGGTTTGACTTTCTTATGATTGTTATTTCCCCAGGTGTCATTTTATTCTTATCAGGCTTCTTTCTCTCCTTTCTATTTACACCTTGGAGATATTAGTTCACAAACAGGAAAAAAGTTCAAATTCCCACACTGATCTTTACATCGCTGAACAACCTAATGACTGGGCTCCCTTTGTAATGGTGAGCATTCTGTTTAGAGGGTAAATTTACTGCACTAGACTTGTAAAAACCGGTGTTTTTAGCTTGTGTGAGCCATGAGGAAGTTGCTCCTTCCTTGAACATACCATGTCAGCTGGCCCAAGATGATGTACTCCCTGGTGCAACTGGGTGTAGTAAGCTTTCCCGTTGAAATCACCAGCCCTCAAATAACAACACAGAGACTTATTATTAATTATGAAAGCTTGGCCTTAACTTAGGCTTTTTTCTAACTAGCTCTTATAACTTAATTAACCTGTTTCTGTTAATCTGTGTTCCATCTGGATTACCTTTCCTCTGTCCCATATGTCCAACTTTTTCTGCCTCCCATTGGCATTTCCCAAGCACCCAGACTCATCCCTTTCACTTCTTCTTTCTCTCTCTGCTGGAAATCCTGCTATCCTCTCCTGCCTACTTATTAGCCATTCAGATCTTTATTACACCAACCACAACAATACATCTTCACACAGTGTACAAATATCCCACAACATTTCCCCCTTTTTATTTAAATAAAAAGGAAAAATTTTAATTCTAACATAACAAAACTATAAACAATAAGAACAATTATCAGATAAAAGTTACATTCACAATGTTCAGTCCATTTGTATTGGCAAATTTGGAGAAAGTACTGTAATATCTATCTTTGTGAGTCCAAAGTTTTATACCTAAACCATTTTTCTATCATAACTTGCATTACCATACTAAAAATATCTTTTTAAACCTTAAAACATTTTTTAGATAAGCAACTTAAGCTTTTTTGTTTCTCAGCATTATAAACTTTACATCTCTTATGTAAATTTATTTTCTAAATTTGGTAACAAGGGAAACTATAACTATCTAATCTTCAACCCCATCAAAGCCCAGAGAAGGATATAATATTACCTTAGTAAACAGGAAGTGCTTCCAAAACTATAGAAATGGCAAAGACAGCTGGCTGCCTGGACAGATGCTCAAGGTTCCTCTACAATGTTGGGACATCCATTTTCAGCGTATAGTCCTAGAATATCTGACAGAGTTTTCTGCGAAACAGGAATTTTGAAGGACTGTCTTACCTTTTCTTGGCAAAGTTCATCCATTGCTTTCTTTTGTGTCCTCATCCAATTTGGACAGCATACTGTCAGCAGTCAAGGCAAGGGTAGTTTCTTGCCTAATGGCCAGTTCAGGCATCCTCTCAACTATTAATAGTAGTCTAAGGTGGGGTCATCCTTGTGGATTCCTGGGAGCTTCCCTAGTACCCTGTTTCTTCCTATTCCCATGATGTCTTCATTTATCATGGTATCACTTTCCTTGTTCTCCCACTCTGTCCCTGTTCCACCTTGAACCTCCCATTCCCTTATGTTCTCATCCCCCATCCCCTGCCCTCCATTACCCCCCTCACCCCTAGTTTGCTCATGTAGATCTCATCTATTTCTTCTTTGCTCAGTGATCTATGTGTCCTTCTTAGGGTCCTTCTTGTTATCCAGCTTCTCTGGAGCAGTGGGTTGTAGTCTGGTTATCCTTTGCTTTACATATAGTATCCACTTAAGAGTGAGTACATACCATGTTTGTCCTTCTGAGTCTGGGTTACCTCACTCAAGATGATATTTTCTAGTTCCATCCATTTACCTTCAAATTTCGTGATATCATTCTGAGTAATACCTCATTGTGTATATGTGTCACATTTTCTTTATCCATTCTTCAGGTGAGGAACATCTAGGTTGTTTTCAGGTTCCGGTTATTATGAATAATGCTGCTATGAACATAGTTGAGCATATGTCCTTGTGGTTTGATTGAGCATTCCTTAGGTATATGCCCAAGAGTGGTATAGATGGGTCTAAAAGTAGATTGATTCCCAATTTACTGAGAAACCACCATACTGATTTCCAAAGTGGCTGTACAAATTTGACCTCCCACGTACAGTGGAGGAGTGTTCCCCTTGCTCCACATCCTCTACAACATAAGCTATCTTCAGTGTTTTTGATCTTAGCCATTCTGACAGGTTTTAAGATGATATTTCAGTCATTTTGTTTGCATTTCCCTGATGACTAAGTGTAGCTAGAGTTTTCCTGCCTGGCCCACAGTCAGGACAAATCTTTCTCACCCGCCAGTCCCACAGCAGCTCAGACTCGACCAAGTAAACACAGAGACTTATATTGGTTACAAACTGTATGGCCGTGGCAGGCTTCTTGCTAACTGTTCTTACAGCTTAAATTAATCCATTTCTATTAATCTATACCTTGCCACGTGGCTTGTGGCTTACCGGTACTTTACATCTTCCTTGTCCTGATGGCGGCTGGCAGTGTCTCCCTCACCCAGCTTCCTGTTCTCTCAATTCTCCTCTCTGTTAGTCCCCGCCTATACTTCCTGCCTGGCCACTGACCAATCAGTGATTTATTCATTGACCAATCAGCAACACATTTGACATACAGACCATCCCACAGCAACTAAGGATGTTGAGCAATTCCTTAAATATCTTTCAGCCATTTGAGATTCTTCTGTTAAAAACTCTCTGTTTAGCCAGGCAGTGGTGGCGCACGCCTTTAATCTCAGCACTGAGAAGGCAAAGCCAGGCAGATCTCTGTGAGTTCGAGGCCAGCCTGGGATATAGAGTGAGTTCCAGGAAAGGCACAAAGCTACACTGAGAATCCCTGTCTTGAAAAAACAAAACAAAAAAAAGAATTCTCTGTTTAGCTCTGTAGACCATTTTTTAATTGGATTGTTCAGTATTTTGATGTCTAGTTTCTTGAATTCTTTATATATTTTGGAGATCAGTCCTCTGTCAGATGTGGGGTTGGTAAAGCTCTTTTCCCATTCTGTAGGCTGTCATTTTGTCTTATTAACTGTATAATTTGCCCTACAAAATCTTCTCAGTTTCAGGAGGTCCCATT